GCGCGTAACTCGCTCCAGTACCACGTCGAACTGTATGTTGAGTGTTTCACATCAACTAGCCATGAAATAAATTGCTAGTTCGTACACGTTGCCGCTCTGGAAGCCGTCATGTACCTACCAGTCGGATCGCCCGGCTGACGCCGAGCTCTCCTCCTTCTCTTTAGCTCGGCTTCGCCGAGCTGGCCTGGCTTCGCCAGGCGCGCTCCATAATTTTAACGGAACTTTTTCAATAGTGGGCTGCTCATACGGCGCTGTAGTGATCGAATCGTAACAGATAGAGCAAGGCTTGGGATCGTGCACTACTTAGCACACGCTTCTATTTGCAGCAGGGGTGTGGTCCGCGCCATAACGCCCATACAATACATAAATCTGTAGATATAGATACAATGTGTTGTCGGCCAATTGAGCGCAGTATGAATCGCTCAGTAAAGAGCAGATTTCGTTTCCATTACCTGCACCGAAATGCCTACCAATGAACGTTTCCCTTTTCAATTAGCATGCAATCCGCTCGCTGAAGTATAATTATTAGTAGGTACTATGTTCAAAAGTAAAAAGAGCTATGGAACGCATGAAGTGCCACATTATTCAGGTTTTTCGGTTCTCCTCGAATTTCCCTGAGTTTCCTGTTTCAGGCGAACTACATACCCCCCCCCCCCCCCCTCCCTCCCGCTCGTCGACATCGACATTATATATAGTAGGATAGTGGGATGAGTTCATTTTCTAGTGCTATCAGAGAAGTGATGGCTAAAGGAAAAGTTTGCACACTGAGCCTTCAATACTTGGCAGTATAGTGATAAGAGATGTAATGAGAATGGCCCCTTATCCTTTCTTATCAATTGATAAGATTGCCTGTCACCCGTCATCAATGTCCCTATCACTAAAACTCTATAATTTGGTAGTGTAAAGGCTCCAACACTTTGACTGAACAACAACGGCAACGTTCCTTATCAGCCCCTATCAGCTGTTATCACCTCCTGTCACCTGCCGTCGATGTCCCCATCTCCCACTCTATATCATTTTCTGAAATCAACGCCTAGCTGATGCTGTGTCCCGCGTTATAGTATGGTGACCTTACCCATTCTAACTCCCCT